CTGGGCCAGAGTGCACAGCCTGGTCTCTACAATGGTTTCTTCACTAAAAAACGATAATTTATTTACTCAAAACCAACACACATTGGAAGCAAACATTTTTTTCTTTTTTTTTTTAGAGAGAGACAGCAATAGTGTTACAAAGATGCCTCCTTGGGCAAATATACAAAATGGTGGGCCTGTCGCCCATTGGGCCAGCTGCATTACCTGCCTTATTCATCACTTAGAGTACAGCTTGGACACTGATGAGAGACTGGTTTGTTTCTGAGAGTAAGCTGAGGAGAAAAATGAATGCCTCATCTCACAGAATGCAAAAATCATGTAATATTTACTTCTGAAGAAATGGAGCATTTGGTTATATGAAAAGTTTGAGAATTTTTAATGATGCCCCCAAATTCAGCCCATTATCACACCATTTTAGAGATCTTAAGGTTAATAATATAGATATAGCAGATACAATTTTACCCTATTTACATAAAGAAACATTAAAAATTCAAGATATCTTTTGTAACAGAATTAGAAGTTTAGTAGTTGAACATAGGAAAAGAAAATGCATAACAGCCTATTAAATCTCACATTTCTTTTCATCAAATTGCCAAAGAAGCATAAGTGATCACTGACCTTTTTTAGAACTCTCTGAGTACAAGATTGCTAATGGGCCAAAAATAAGAAAATCTGGTTTTTATAATTTCAGGACACTTCTGAAGAATACCTATCTGGTCACCATAAAAAGCACTATCTTCATAATTCAGCCAAAGATGGGAATTCTCTCAAATGGGAAAGGTAGGCATCGACTGGGGTTGACTTCAGGGTGATTAAAAAGTCTTCACCAATTTAAATCAATAAGGTAAAAATGGTAAACAGCTATTTGGTTACCAACATAGAAAAGGAAAAGAAAAGCTGCCAAATAAATAACAGCAGGTGGAAAAATGCTGAATATGGATTAATTTCTCCAATCTACCTTGGGCTAAATGGACATTGCATTAATTTCTCCTTCAAAAGCCTTCTAATAAAGTCCACCAGTTCATTGAGAATAAGTACAGAAAACCAGAGAATCAAACACTTGCCCACAATCTATGGGGCTGTTTATAAGGGTCTGAGTTTGAATAACCAACAGCAAAGTACCTTTGATTACAGAGGATAACCGTTCTATTGTGAGTGAAGGCAGCTTTTTACATTCCTTAAATGTTAAAAATAATAGGATGAATTTTGGACAGGGAAACACAAGCGGTCATACACATGACAAAAAGGCAGACTCCGGGATAGGATTCCTGAGACAGATGGACCCTGGGTCTGATCTTATCAAGAAATTCTTATAGTCTTTTAATGTTTTTCTCCTGGAATTTACTTCGGTAAAAGTTTCTAAAAACAGAAAACTCTGAATGAATCAAAGTCACTTAAGAATAGCCACAGGCAGGTGGGAAATGAGCTTCTGTCAGTCCCAGGTTCAGAGAGGCACTTTCAACAAACCAGCAACTGCAGTAACAAAACACATATTTCCCAGGGTAAGACCAACCCAAAATGTGCTAGCCCTGTCTCACTAAGAGCCAAGTCAGAAGTGAGATAAACACCAGCACAAAGATGGCCCGAAAGGGAAAAGCGGTGCCCAGAGCTGCCCAGAAGCAAGGTTCTCCCACAGCCCTGCCATTCCTTTTACTGAGTCTGCTGCAATGGTTTTAAGACACTATTTTCATTATATGTTCCATAAAACTTTGGAAGTCCATGAAGCTTCTCTTTATAAGGTCCTTTAGAGACAGTGGGGACACTTCCAGTGTGCCTCGTTTCTATCATTTTCACGTACCCAAAGCGTGGCATTTACAGAGCATGGATACAATCCAGAATGTTCCACTTCCTCTCCAGCGCTTTGGTAAGCTGTGATTCAATTATCTGATACACTAGTGGCCAGTGGCAGAGCAGCGGAGGCCGACATTATTGAGATTTGACAGTGTGTGCCAATGATTTCATTTGGGGGTGATCAAAGTTGTGTGGCTTTGGAGGAGAGTGGGCTGCATAAAACCTATGGACACTCATGTGCAAGTTTTCAACCGGAAGGCCCATCAGAAGGTCCTAGTGGACTCCACAGTAAGCAGAAGTATTCTCCTAGAGTGAATCACTATTTAAAATCAATGCTTGAGAATAAATAAGGCACTAGGTTAATGTTAGTGGCACAGAAATCTAAAGTATAGTCTCAAATTGTGTTTTCCTTCCTTTTTCTCCCTTGGGAAATGATTCCTGGAATGTTTATGGGCAAAGAAATGGAGGTCCCCTCCTTCTCCTAAGTTCTGACATGGACATCCATCAGACAGTCTTAAGTTTAAGTGTTTTTGTTTTGCCTTCTTTTCCTCTTGGGAAAGCATTCCTGGGATGTTTGTGGGGAAGTGGAAGTTGGGAGTCTTATTTAGCACAAAGTCTAAAAAAGCAGAAGACCACTTCCAGAGGGTAGACAATGAATTGAAGTGAAAAAGAAAGTTCTTCAGAATTAAATGTTCTCTTAGGAGCTGTGGACCTATTTGGACACTCTGGGGCCATTTTCTGGCTGCCACAGAAGGCCAGTGCTGCCTCCTCCAGTCAGTGGCCTGGCTGCTGCCTGGACCACCCTGAGGAGGCAGTTGCTGCTGGCGCATGGTGCAGAACCCCAGGGCACGGGTCCTGGCACTACCTTTTTGGTGGGGCTCAGAGGGAAATGGCAATAATGGTCATTTCATAAAGGACAAAGTTCTCTTCTATCACATGCAAAAGATAGTGACAGTGAAAGGGTCCCATTATGCCAAGCCTATGCCTGTCCCATGGCTGTGACAAATACTCCAGGAGACACGAGAACTAACAAGGAAGCAACTGTCTCTCCTGGATGGCCTTTTCAAGCTCAGCATAGGCTGCTCTTCTCTGCACACGAGTGAACTTGGTCGGTTTGTCTGTCTCCATGCCTACTCTTTTCTTGCTTGTTTTCTTTTTTGAATCATCACCAAAACCACCTTTACTTTACTGAGATGACTGACGGATAGCCCCCTAGTCAAAAAGGATTGGGTATATGGTCAACACTTAGAGTCTTATGGATTGGCCATTATTGGTGAAGGATTTCACTAAGAATCCCCCTGTCATTCATAAAGACATGCTACCCTTCAAAACACAGCTCTTGACTAGCTCTCCTCACTGCCTGGTTAAATATTCAGAAAGCAATACTTGGAAACAACAAGAAAGGAAGTTAGGTGTTTGCTAGGTGCCCAACAATAGCCATTTCACGGCAAGTGAACCCAAGGGGTAAGATTCAGAGGTTCCTCCATCATTCTTTCTGGCATATTAGAAATCAAGTCTTTAGATATAAAAAATAATAATTGAGATTGCTTTTCCTTGCTCTGAAAACACATGTACATGCTGGTCCTAAAGAACGATCCCTAGCAGCACAACGTCTGGTTTTGTGTTGATGTTATTTATGCCACAACGATGCGACAAAATGTTCCACCGAAATGACGACAATCCACATCTCCAGCAGGGTTTTTGCATTGCTGTCTTTGTCCATATTTGCAACTGGAAGCTGTGGAGCTGTCTTACCTCGTAGGTTCTCTGGGAGAACCTGGTATTGATTATATCAGGATACCACAAAGATTATTTCAAGAAAAAGATTATACATCATAATGCTTAGCATTTATATAGGTTCTTTTGATTTCAAAACAAGTTATAAATATTTCCTACCGTGACAACATCTTCGCGAGGTAGGTGAGTATTACTGTCCCTACGTTACCAACAGACACTCAAGGCCAAGAGGTGCAGGCTGTCCCAGGCCAGAGAGAGCCAGGGGCAACATGGAGACCGGGCGCCCTAATGGCCGCCTGCTTTGGGCTCTGAAGAGGCCAGGCCTCTCTCTAGCGTAGCAACAGTTTCCATTAATATAGGGTTATATATTGTATAGATATAAAACAACAACACACAGTGATATTATAGAACAATAATCCAATATTTTTCTCTCTTAGTAAAATATGTTAAGCACAGTATTTAAATTGCATTTCTCTGAAAAGCATTTGGTATAGTAAATAGCAGAAGGTATATTAAATAGCTCTATAAACGTTGGCTGGCATACTCTTAACAGCATAATGAGTCTAAAGAAATTAAAATCCACTGATGCATAGAGATCTTTTCTTTATAATACCATAAACTAAACAAAAATGTGAAAATCTACTTTATTCTCCTAATGCAGACTTAGCTTGCTGGATATTAGCAGGTGGCTACATAATTTTTCTAAGCTTGAGAGAAAGGATACATATTGCTGGCTGTGGGTTTAAAGTATCAATTTGGTAGGGAAAATGCAGTTGGAAGGTGAAAATTAAAGACTGCTATTTCCATTTTGTATCCATTCTGAGGAATTTATCCATTTTCAAAACATATTACCATACTTGGAACTAATGCTGAGGTGACAACAGGGACGTAACAGAACGTCTTGTAAGAACAGAAAAGGATACAAAATAAAAGTGATGGCAGTAAGAGGAAAATGAACAAGGAGGCAAAGAGGGGTATTTTTCAAGAGTGTTGTCAGCTGTTGGTGCTCAGGTGACTGTCTGGGTCTTAGAGACGGTTTCCGAGGATAAACATTTGGTGTGACGGGTCTCCGCTCCAAGGCCACACCCCCACTCTCCTCTCCGGCTCAGCTGTCCTCAGAGTGGTGTCACAGAGCTCACCTCATGCTAAGCTTCCAAGAACTGACTAGGTGCGTCAGCAGAAAAAGTTCTAAAACCAGAAAGGAAGAGGCATCAAAGTCTTAAAATCTGTATGCAAACGTAAAAACTCACTTCCAAGCCGGAATGACCTTCTCCGTCAGAAGTAACAAATACAAAGTCTTAAATTTAGTGTACACGCTGCTAAGATACCGTTAGATATCACATGTCATTCAGAGAATATTTTTTAGAAGTGTGCTTTTCCCTAAAAAAGACATATTAAATTGTTTTTCTCTCCTCAAGTCCTTTTGATACAAATGTGAAATACGAAGTGTCCTGTCAGTTTGCTCACTCGTGTCATACACTCGCGGGGTCCTTCCCACTTGCGTTGGAGGTGGCAGTTTTGTTCGAGGGGGCTCTGAGTTTGAACAGGCTTGAGCAGTCTGGCTGTTTGGTGGGCTGGAAGGTTCTGGCGTAGGGTGAGTACCAGTCCCTCTCAAACACATCTTTCAGTTGCTTAATGATGCTGGCGTTGTTCCTCACGTCTGCTTGGTTGATGACAAGGCCTGTGCCAGCATTCTGGGTGAAATCGTTCCCCACCCAGTCAAAATTTCCTGCCGACAAAGGAAATAACGGTGAGGAGTTAAGACCCACTGGGGAATATTCCCCATTTAATGAAATACAGAGCAGATTCTATTTAAAAAAATTACATAAACTCCCGGGAATAATGACAGGGAGATTGAATTGTGTTGACAGCTCAGAAAAAAAAAAATTTCCAAGAAGCTTGCCATATGGCATATTAATATTTGCATATTATTTTGGCATTTTCTTCAGCTTTGCTCAACTTGAAACTCAAAACAAGGAATCTGCTGTTCTTTTTTGTAAATGTTATTTCTTATTGACATTCACAAGACGCACTAAATACAGCAACATTTAAAATATATAGGAATACACTTAAAAATCCTGTGAACAATTACTACCTTCTCAAAGAGACAACATTGAATCCATATGTACAAATGAGGGCGTCTAATTATAACACTCAGAAGCTTTTATATCAAAGAAAAGGCTGGAGCCAGAGAGAGCTCCTATGTGAATACACACATCACCCCTCGCACGGGCCGTGATCATTTCCCGTTCCAGGAGCAGGCTCCGGGGCCCGGGAGTCAGAGCCGCTGCTGTGACCCAGGCTCCCCAGTAGGACTGGCTGGTGTCAGGCAGCATATTAGTTTGCTAGAGCTGCTGTAACAAAGTACCACAGACCGGGTGGCTCAAACAACAGAAATTTATTGTCTCACAGTTCTGGAGACTAAAAGCCCAAAATGAAGATGTTGGAAGGCTGGTTCCATCTGAGGGCTGTGTTCCAGGCCTCTCGCCTTGGCTGGCAGATGGCTATCTTCTCCCCGTGTATCTTCACAACATCTTCCCTCTGGGCACATCTCTGTGTCCAGATTTCCCCTTTATAAGGACACCAGTCAAATTGGATTAGGGCCTACCCCAATGACCTTGCCTCAACTCGATCATCTCTGCATACCCTCTCTCCAAGGAAGGTCATATTCTGAGGTACTGGGGTTAGGACTTCCGTATATGAATTTTGAGGGGACAGAATTCAGCCCGTAACAGACAGTAAGGCTGGGATCTGCCCCAGAAGGGGCTAATCATGTCTCTGTCCCTCACATGGAGCCCACCTTCAAAGTGGGAGCTGAGGAGAGGGCTGGATGGCCCAAACTCCCACACGCATTTCTTGTCTGTATCCAGTGAGAGAGTCTTCCAGAAGGAAAATGAAGGTTTCTCCTCAGGAAGGTACAGGACCACTCATTTCTGTGATCCTCTTGGCCCTTCACTTAATGCATATTCACTGAGTGTCTAACATCTACCAGGTACTTTCTTAGGGGCCATGACACAACCCCAAGGAGGACAGTCCTGCCCTGAACGAGTCCAGGAGGGAAATGCAAGAGTCTAACACAAAGCAGGTGAGGTGGCATAAGAGCTGTGTGTATACTGTGCCATACTTGGTAGTGCAGGAGAAGAACTCCTAACTCTGGCTAGATTGTCAGGAAAGGAGCGCTTCACTGAGTAATGAGAGAGACACGGAAACTTATCACTTAGGAAATTAATTCCAAAGGGAAGATGTCATATTTGTGGACAAAAGATGATTTGGAGCATGACGGGGAAAAGCTAGGGATGAAGTCAGGACATAAGGGACTCACAGGGGAGAGGAGCTGTCACTTGGTAAGTGGCTACTATGAGTGAAGCACTGTGCTTGCCATTTGTATACATTATGTCAGATGGCTGCGAGGATTTATGTCCACTCTGCAGATGAGGAAGGTGAGGCTCCAAGAGGCGAATAAATCTGCCTAGTATAACATGGCTAACCAGTGGTGGACCCAGGTCTGCCAGACTCCATAAACTACCTACAATACCATATAAGAATTATTCTCACTGATAAAGATTTAGCCATGTCAAGAGTGACACTATTCTTTCAAAAATTATAACCAGCCCAGATCTGGTCTGAGCTCCCAGTTTTGCTCTCCTCTTTGGTTCAGAGCTGGTTCCCTAAAAAGAACTGAAGCCCTTTTTTTTGGTGAGGAAGATTGGCCCTAAGCTAACATCTGTACGAATCTTCCCCTATTTTGTATGTTGGCCGCCGCCACAGCACAGCTTGATGAGCAGTGTGTGGATCCGCACGGGGGATCTGAACCAGTGAACCCTGGGCCAGCAAAGCCGAGTGCACAAACGTAACCACTATGCCACCAGGCCAGCCTCTGAAGCCTTTTTAAGTGTAGAGCTTGACTTTCCATTCCCTCAGTTCCTCAGGCATCATGGCTGGAATTTTTGCTGGATAAGATGCTAAAATCATCATCATCCCTTGGCATCCTTTCCCCAAGGCCCTGCGGCCATCTATGGGAGAAGCTGCCGTGAGAAGGGACATCGGTAGAGACAACCAATATCTGTTCCTTTATAGCTCTCTTGCTTTGGTCCCTGCTCTCTCTCTGGAGCCCCTGTGCACACAGACTCCCTTTTCCATCTGGCACCCTCTGGAATATTGGAAGGTGGTTTTCTTATCTCTCATTTTACTCCTTAAATTTGTTCCTCAGGGCCTGACACTGGGCCCCTAAATCAAATATTCGCACAGAGAAGGAACTCTTCTCTCTCTTTCTCTCTCTCCTCCACCTCCCTGTCCCCACCAACAAACACAGCAATGATGCTGTCAGTGGCTTCACGATAGGCATAATTTTGGACGAATTTTACTGCTATAAATTAGTGAATTGTCTGCCAAGTGATTCATAATATGGAATCCAGGTCTCTGTGCAGAGACCCCCTTTGCGAGTGCTGGGGCCTGACCGTGTGCTCTCAGACACACGGCCACGCTCAGAGGCTGCGGTTCTGTGCAAATGCTCAGTGCCAGGTGAACACAGGCTTGGACCTCTAAACTGGAGATCAGTAGCTACTGCAGGTTGAGAGTTATTCTGGAGCCTGCTGGCAGGTGGCACTTTCTATTCATTCCATAAACAAAAAGCTCCTGTGTTCCTGCACGCCTTTCAAGGACTTTTGGACAACACGCCAAGATCTCATCCTCTGGCTCAGTGCCAGGCACTGGACCAAGGGCAGTAAATTCGTTATCTCATTACATTAGCTCATTCAATATTCACTGCAATCCTACAAGATGATAATACTAACTCCATCGTACTGATGAGGAAATTAAGGGATAGGAAGGTTGAATAATTTGTCCAAGGCAGGAGGGAAAAAAATATCAGAGCTGAGGTTCAAAGCCAGGTCCGACTCCACAGCCCACGCTGAACTTCTGTTTCATGTTCCCTCTGATCCTAGAGGCAAGCTTCCTGCTAAGGGTGCCCTTTGACCTGGACTTCAACATCGGCCCTGGGGCGGGGCATCAGGCCAATCTCCATGAATGGAGATTGCTGCTCCATTCATGCGTGGACCACCCTCTCTGAAGGAAACATCCATAGAAGGTACTGGGGGCAGCACAGGGAGGGAAAGAGGAGGAGAGAGAAGGAATGAGAGTTTGAAGACTTATTCTGTGAAATTCAGTTTTATCTTTCAATACAATGGATGGAGCCCAGATCCCGCATCTTTATCGATCTCAAAAGCATGAATTAGGTTCTTCTAGGAATCACGCTCTAGGCGACTCTCCCAGGCCTACAGAGGCATCCTCCACCAGAGTGATCAGGTTTTCCTAATTTTTCACTTCCTGACACTTTGGCTAACCTTCAAAAGCACATAGATGCTTCAGTATTTTATCAGTTGGGATGCAGATTTACCCAGCTTTTGTTGAGACAGTCATTTCAGCTCCCAGAATGTGTACTTAGGCCCAGTTGCCAAAGAGAATTACAGTGCCACCCTCAGGATAACCTGAGGTGAGGACCCAGATGAACTCCCGGGCAGGTGTATGGGCCCCAAGCAGCCTTCTGAGAGCCTTCAGTCAACACCACCCCCGTGGGCCCTCAGATAATTCACACCATTGTCCCCACAAGTTTGCCAAGTGTGCGTGACTCAAACACACTCTGGTAAATTCAAAATTAGAGAGATGACACTGTTTGGGGATTCCTCTGTACGTCTTGTGAAAATTTAATGGAGCTATAATTCCATGCAAGGTCTAGTGTGGGTTTTTCTTAATTCAGCATTCTTAGCAAGTATCTGACTGACGACTTAAGAGATTTCTGGAACTTGCTGATAATTATTTAAATTATCAATGAATTTTCCCTCTTGATGCTCTTCAAATATTTTTATACTAGAATTATGCTTCACTCTAGGGAACTAATGTTTTGCTAAAATGCTATGTGTAAAATGAACTCATTTAAAATTTCATTATAATAGAGAGCCCAGAAATAGACCCATGTAAATATAGTCAACTGATCTTGACAAAGAAGCAAAGGCCACACAATAGAGTAAAGATGGTCTTTTCAACAAATGGTGTTGGAACACCTTGGCATCCACACGCAGAAAATGAATCTAGACACAGACCTTCCACCCTCCACAGAAAATTAACTCAAAAGGGATCATAGACCTAAATGTAAAATGCAAGACTATAAAAGTAGAAGATAACATAGGAGAAAAATCTCGATGACCTTGGGTTCAATGATGACTTTTAGATGAAACACCAAAGGCAAGATCCATGAAAGAAATAATTGATAAACTGGACTTCATTAAAATTAAAAATGTCTTGCTCTGTGAAAGACACTGTCAAGAAAATGATAAGATAAGCCACAGGCTGGGAGAAAATATTTGCAAAGGACATATCTGATAATGGAGTGTTATCCAAAATATACAAAGAACTCTTAAAACTCAACAATAAGAAAATGAAAAACTCAATTAAAAAATCGGCCCAAGGCCTTAGCAGACACCTCAGTAAAGAAGATACACAGATGGCAAATAAGCACATGAAAAGATGCCCCACATCATATGTTATCAGGGAAATACAAATTAAAATAAAAATGAGATGCCACTACACCTATTAGAATGGCCAAAATCCAGAACACTGACAACACCAAACGCTGACAAGGATGTGGAGTGACAGGAACTCTCACTCATTGCTGGTGGGAATGCAAAATGGTACAGCCACTTTGGAAGACAGTTTGGCAGTTTCTCACCAAACTAAAGATACTCTTACCATAGGATCCAGCAATCATGCTCCTTAGTATCTACCCAAAGGAGCTGAAAATTTATGTCCACCAAAAAACCTGTACAGAAGTATTTATGGCAGCTTTATTCATAATTGCCCAAACTTGGAAGCAACCAAGATGTCCTCCAGTATATGAACGGATAAATAAACTGTGGTACATCCAGACAATGGCATATTATTCAGCATTAAAAAGAAATTAGCTATCAAGCCCTAAAAAGACATGGAGGAATATTAAATGTATATTACTAGGTGAAAGAAGCCAATCTGAAAAGGCTAGATACTGTATGATTCTAACTGTATGATATTTTGGAAAAGACAAAACTATGGAGACAGTGAAAAGAGGAGTGGTTGCCAGGGGTTAGGGGGAGGGATGGATAAACAGGTGGAATACAGGGATTTTTAGGTCAGTGAAAATACTCTGTATGCTACTATAATAATGGATGATGTCATATACATCATATAAGGATGTCATTATACATTTGTCCAAACCCACAGAATGTATTCCAAGATTGAACCCTAATGTAAACTATGGACTTTGGGTGATAATGGTGTGTCAATATAGGTTCATCAACTGTAACAAATGTACCACTCTGGTGGGGGACATTGATAATCAGGGAGACTATGCAGGTATGAGGACGGGGCTACATGGGAATTCTCCATACCCTCAGCTCAATTTTGCTGTGAAACTAAAACTGCTCTAAAAAATAGTCTTTAAAAAAAATTCATTATAAGGGAAAGAGAAGGGAGAGAGCCAGGAATCAATAGTTACTAAGGATCTAGATAGAAGAATCAGAGACAGTGTTAGGAGCTTGTCATATATTATCTTATTTAATCCTCATCACCACCATGGTGGGTGCTTTTCACAGGCAAGGAAACAAAGCTCAGAGCAATTATGTGACTTTCCACCATCTTCCAGCTTCTAAGTGTGAGTGTTTGAATTCAAATACAGGTTGTCTGGCTCCAGAACACTTAGTAACTCCTTAAAGGACATCGGATGTAGGCACAAGTCACTGCTGAATATACACACACCATCTGACTTCAAGCAAACCCTGCAGGTGAGATATCCAGAGTGGAGCCCCTAAAGCCCACTGTGCCTGACCCCTGACCCGGCCCTGTATTTCTCAATAATTGGCCCAAAGTTCCCATTTTTGATTAAACGATTTTGAGTTTGTCACTTGCTTAAAAAGTAGTTGATTTCATTCTCCTCTCCATAAGTTGATGAACATGAAAAAAATCCAGATTATTACATCTCGGGTCACCGAAAGGGACAACATGAATAAAATAACATTCTCATATTCTAGAACAACCGGAATGATGTGAAAGTCCCAATACTCTATTCTACTAATGTGACACTTAACCATTCAAAATGGAAAAAGACAGAACGTCCTCTCACTGGACCAGGAGGTCGCAACTCTCCAGTAGCCGATGGCAGTGTCGTCTGAACGGCCGCCGGGGTGAGGGGTCCGGGTGCCCTGGACTCTAGACCTGGCCACTCCCCTGTGCCCTGTGCACGTCTAAGTCATTTCATGTCTCATGGCCCTAGCTTTCTCATTTCTAAGCTGCAGGTGAGAAAAGCCACTCTCCCTATGGGCAACGTTGCTAAGAGAATAAATAAGAGGAATAAGGAGCTTTACAAAGTCAAAAGGGCATATTTTTTACTCACTGAATTTGAAAAAAAAATATAGATCTCATATTCCTTCATTCTATACATACGTTTTTCTTTTCTGCCTTGAGACTGCCACTCCCTCTGCACACCGTGGGAACCATGCTGCTGTCTGGGGAGTTACCCATCTTTGTTGCACAGATAACAATTCCTATGCTGCCTGTGATGGTACCAGTTAAGGGGCTACCCTGGACTCATACTTGTCATGGGAAAGTAGAACAGACTTGATGCATTAGTAAATAAATCCACCAGTACATATGATTTCCGCCTCTGGAGCTTCATTACCTTAACAATAATAGCTAACATGAACGGTATCATCAATGTGCCGGGGGCTTTCATTGTGCACGGGGCTTTGCATAGATTTTCCCATTTAAACTTGACCCAGTGAAGTAGAAACTATTACTAGCCCCATTTTACAGTTGGGAAAACTGAGGTTTAGAGAGCTTAAATAAATTGCCCAAAGTTAGACATTTAAAAAATGGCAGGGGTGGCATTCGTGCCACGGCAGTGGTTGTTTTGACAGTCAACTATGATGACGTCTGCCTCCCTGTTCCTCCCGACAGGCTGGCTATGGGACTGCGGGTGGGGAAGGGGCACTCGGCTTGTTCTCGGGCCAGGACTCACCTTTGATGAGCCACTCGCATCCTCACCTATAACATGAGGCAAATGGACCAACAATTTCTGCAAAGCATTTATGAAAAGACATCTTGTCTGCTCTCCTAGCAGAGGAAGCAAGCCATGCAGAATTCGGGTGAAGAGCTCTTTGCCCTCCCCTCCTGTTTCCTGACCTCCAGGGCCGCCCTCTCACTGGCAGGAGCTCTGGAGGTGCTGCTTCCCCACGGGGCATGGAAGAGCACAGCCAGACCACCACCAACCTGCACGATCCCCCACGGCGCCTCGCGGCCCTGGCACCTACCAATGTAAGCTGCGCCATCCGTCACCATGTACTTGTTGCGATTTAACTTAGGGAAGCTGTGATTCTTTTGTTCTTTTGTAGCACAAGCATTCTCTCTTTCCAGATCGAAAAACTTCTGTAAAACCAAATAGATAAATAAAGCAGGTGAATAGAGAACGTTTTTGGTCTCGTTCAAGAGCACAAAAGGGTTTCTGAGCCAAATATCAATAACAGACCTCATGTTGGGTTATTAAAACCACAATCTTGTTACTTCGTATAGATGAAGCTATTTTGGTTCTCAAATCTATATAGGCAACAAGAGAGAAAATTAGCATGCTCAACTAGGTCTATCATTAACACTTTTAAGCTGAAAAATGAGCACAAAATTCATTCTCTCAACAGGCTGAGGGCCAGAAGCCTGTTTAATTCTCGTTGTCTTATTCATCGGTGTGCTCTGGCATTTGCAGTCTGCCTCAGGGTGCTTTCTGACAAGCACGCCAATGAGCTGAATGAACATTCTGACACTTCGCACACATTATAGGAAGCGGTAGGCCCATGTCAAATGACCAGCTGATTAAACTGGGGATTTGCAAAGGTGAAAAGAGATTTTGCCAAAGGAACAAACACTTCCCATCTGGACACCTAAGTCTACAAGACGTTTTAAGAGGCAATTTGAAAAATCACTTCAAACAACAAATCTCAACTTTAATGTGACCCAAAAGGCAGCATTCCCATTCTCGTCGGGCCCGGATGCATGGGGGGGGTCGCCAGCAGGAGTGGTCGGGTTTGGGCCTCAGGAATCTGCCGAAATTAGTGACAGCTGAGATGAGGCTACACTGCCACCGAGCTTCCAGGGTCCTGTGACCAAGCTCACAGGAAGACGCCATCAAAGGGGAGGGTCTCAAGTCTCCTCTACTTGGGGAAATGCTGAACATTCTCAGAACTGCATGGAATCTTTCTGGAATGTCTTACAGCTGTGGCATTGTGTGTGTTTGAAGGAAAGAAGAGGAAAATAAGATGACATCTAGAAATGGAGATGTCATTTACAGTTTTGAAACTCTAAGTGTTCACGTTTGCTTTGGAGAAATAATGAGAGTTGGTCTTCCCTCGCCCAGGCAGTGACAGCCCAGGTGCTCACTAAGGTCCCTTCCAGCTCTGAACACGCTCTCCTGACTTTTTGTAGAAATCTTGAGATCAGTGGTGCACAGGCCCAAACTACTAACCTAGAATTGTCCATTGCACATCACAGGGGAACATTCCCCCAGGGCCCTACTCTTCATGGTTACAGGCAGTGCTGCCTGCATCACTTTAATTCCTCAGTTCCCGTCTTCTGCAAAAGCCGTGTTGTTTAGAGGGTTCACATATAGCCTTGTGGACTCTTCAAACTGACTTAATAACCTGTGAATCCTCTTAAGCCAGAGTTATATATTTGTGAGGTCACATGAGCATTGAGGCTGCCGACCACTCAGGAACAGTCGGCAGCCGCCTTGCTTGGATATTCTATCACAACATGTCCACACACTTGACTATTTCCTCTTAAGGAAGATATTATTGTAGAATCAAGACAGATCTGAAAAAGAATAGACTATACATGCTAATTTAAGTCAGGGAGAGCATCACAGCTTGAGGCTTTACTGAGAACCCATTTGCTCTAGAAAGTTGAAGATGGTCTTTTTAAAAGAGGGGAAAAAGTCTTATCTGAGAGACTGAAATGACAGCAGCCAGCCCTGGTAGCCTAGTGGTTAAGGTCGAGTGCTGTCACCAACAGGGCGCAGGCTCATTTCTGGGTCAGGGAACCAGCCTTCTGTCAGTTGTCATACTGTGGGGCTATGCCACCGGTGTTTCAAATACCAGCAGGGTCACCCGTGGTGGACAGTTTCAGTGGAGCTTCCAGACTAAGACAGACTAGGAAGGACGACCTGGCCACCCACTTCCAAAAAAATGGGCCATGAAAACCCTGTGAAAAGCAGCAGAGCATTGACTGAGACAGCACCAGAAGGGGAGAGGATGGCGCAAAAAGACCAGGCAGGGTCCCGCTCCGCTGTGCGCAGGGTCTGAGAGTCTGAATTGACTCAACGGCACTAACAACAAACAATGACAGCAGAAATCTTATCATATTCAGTGACATAATATTAGACACTTAATATGTTGTAAGTGACAGCAAAGGCATTTCAAAAGTGATTTGTTAATTTATTAAAAAATAAAAGCCCAGCTCACTGGGACAACTTTGTCGAGTTGCAGTCTCTTTCCATGAGCCCCCTCATGGATACAGACCCACAAAGCCAAGGGTGGGGTGCCCACTCCTCCAAGGACAGAGATTCTCTGCCTCATTCCCAGGCCATCTGCTTTATCAGTGCCCCGAGGCTCCTGAAGATAGGCTGTGTGCAAGGTTCCATCACCTACTTTTCTTAGAAAAGCTCCTCACCCATCAGTGTTCTAGATGTTGGGGCCATAAGCTTCTTTCCCACCTAAGCTTATCTTGATGCTTAGACATGCATGGCCTGACTTAAGAGAATATCAGAGTCTCTGTTTTATAAAGTGTCCAACATTGAACTATTAATGTTTGGTTTATTTAAATAATGTGACCATCAGTATTCAGAAAGATGAAGATGAGTAAAGACTGTAGAGACTAAAGTGATGGATTCCACTTTTCTCGTAATTTCTTGTAAGTCTTAAATGAGAGCATTTAACATTTCACAACGTAGATTTCAACTGACAGTGCCTTAGTGGCAGGTGCACTGTGGGGTCAGGAAGCAGTGGGTGGGTGGAGACCACTGAGTTGGCCTGAGGGGGAGTTGAGAGAGGAGATGGGGCAAATGCACCATGTGCCTCAGGCCCCAGACACTCTCCTCTTTGTTTCTGCTTCTATTAGTCATGCCGTTTTACTTTCTGTGTTCTGATGTTTTGACATCCAGGGGCCTTGCTGACCCTGGAGGGACTGCCCTGCTGAGGCTTAGCCAATTCCTGGAGATGGCAACAATTTGCCTGTGAGCGCACCTCTCACGTGCAAACTTACCAGTCCTGAGCCCTTACCCTGAACCACCTCCTTTAAAGGTCTCACATTCTGGGCCACTATCCACCTGTCTAATCACCCAGGGCCAGGGACCAGGCAGTAGGGACAGCTCCTATGCCCAGAGTCTGCTGAAATTATTCGATCTAGCCAATCCTAAATCGGCTGACCCTGCCTCGCCTATTCCTTCTCATAGAAACCACAACAAAGGCTCTTGCTCACGGTTTCCTCTCGCTCCCTCTGCCTCCTGGATGACCCTGGTGCTTCCCCATATGGCCCTTCATGTCATGCCCCCTTGTCTTGAGATCTGTGAATGTAACAAAGTACCTTTTCACTGGTCATCGTCTCCTGATCACTTGGCCTTGTCACACGTAAATAATAATAGGACCCACATTTTAAAACACTGCTCTACCTGGTAAGTCTGACAATGGCGCTCCTCTGACTGCATGGATACTGAGCTCCTGAGTACATGACTTCAGCTGGTAGATTCCTCACCCCTTGGCAGCCCTTCTCCAGCACACCCCATGAGGAAATGGCTAAAATGACTCCACGTCCACCACATCTTGGACTCAGGCATCGTTCTGGCCTCTGCTCCCTCCACTCACTGGTTCACAGAACCATTTTCACTCTGCCTTTGTGAGCTCCCTTCCTTGACTTCATTCCTTCATTCCTCCACTCATTCGAGTTTTGAATGCTGTGTGCCAGCATTATGCCAAGCACTGGGAATACGATGGTGAACCAGACACCTGTTCCCTGTCTCACTTGATTTTCCCTGAGCCCCATATGCCACTTCAGTTATCTGGAAAATGCCATCCCTGAGCTGAAACAGCTCCAGCATTCTCTTGTCCACAGAAAGGTAGTGAACACAATCTGACTCTATTCTCCTGGGTCTCTGCCTGGCTTCCTGGGGCTGTACTAGTGTCTCTTCTGAGCCCTGCTATCTGATTCCAAACCAAGGCTGGCACCCCATTCCACTCCTGGTTATTTCATTCAGTTGTAAATCTGGCCTGGAAAACAGATGTGTAGCAGTAATCACAGACCTGTTTTTATTTCCAATACAGGCATACCTCATTTTATGGCTCTTTGCTTTATTGCATGTTGCGGATGTTGCATTTTTTACAAGACCGTCCATCAGCAAAACCATGATGACTCGCTGAAGGCTCAGATGACGGTTAGCATTTTTAAGCAATAAAGTATTTTTTAGTTAAGGTATATACATTATTTTTTTAAATATAATGTTATGGCACACTTGATGGACTACAGTATAGTGTAAATATAACTTTTCTATGTAGTGGGAAACCAAAAAATTCATGTGACTCGCTTCATTGTGGCATCCTGGAACCGAACCCACAACATCTCTGAGGTATGCCTGTACTTATACTGATTTGTGAACCCACAGACATGTGCCTGGCTGCCTCAGTTTACAAAAATCAGTTGTTATAGAGAAAAAAAAAATCTATTTTCCATCAATATTACTAGAATGTTAGGGAGATTAAGATGAAAATATATATGAGAAGCATTATAGGTTTGAAATTTACAGTAAATTCTGGAACTTTATGTCTTTAAATTGTTAATGATTTCAACTTTTAAAAATATTTTAATGGCATGAATGAGTTAAAAACATTTTATCTGACATTTTTGTTAATCCTCAGAGAGATAATTCAGAGGTGCAGCTTCTCAAGTCTTTGAGGAAATGTAGCATACGATGTTTTTGAATACAGACAGGAAAGACAAAAAAGAACTCGGTAACTCCACTTTTTCTTTCCCAGGCAGAGGCCATATAGTTTAAAAGCTCAGGCTCAGAGTCAGAAAGACTTGTATCTGAGTCTTTCTCTGCTATTCACTAGTGTCCTTGAGAGAGGTTATTTAGTCTCTCTTTGAGCTTCATTGTCCAAGTCTGTAAAAAGGGAGAAGGGCTTGCTTCATAGGGTAGTTGTGAACATTAAGTAATACACACAAAGCATTAATGTGGTACCTGGCTAATTGTATACACTCATGAATATAACAGATTCTTTCACTCGTTTAAACAATATAAAGCACTAACTATGTCCGGACAATGTGAAGTGGGGTGTTGCCATAAGAGCAACAACAAAATCTCAACAAATGATGCAGCAGTGGGCAGCAGGCAGCAAGTAAACTGATATTTCAGGATGGAAAGATGGAGACCCACGTTAGCAGTGGCAAAATATTTGGTAAAACCATAACCTGCACTCATTTGGAAGGAAGACCAAGCATCCACGAACCTTTGGCTATAGGGCAAGGAATTGGAAAATGAACTGTCTGTAGTGTGTGTCGGTTGTTATCAGTGTTTTTAGAAAATTATTAGAGGAGACAAATAAGCTCAGGGAAGGATTTGCTGTTTGCAAGCAGATATGAAAGAGAAGAGATAGACCAGAAACTTGGTATTTCAAAGGGCTGGAAAAGCTGATGTGCCCAGAGCTCAACAGCAGAAAATGAGTCTGAGAAATGCTGTGAGTGACCGGGCCAGTTAATCCGGCCCTGCTGCAGAGACCAGATGGTCGGTGGGACTATGACTGGTGTAATCTTCCCACCCACGTCTGACGGCCTGATGGAGTTGGCATTAAAAAGAGAGAAGAGAGAGAGGGAGCAGGAGAGAAGCAGAAGTACACGCTCAGAAGCATAATTAATCAAGTCAGGGAACTAGGTGCAACAGAAACCTTGGCTGCAGCTACTAGAACGCGGGAGTGACTACGAGCAAACAGATCAGAAGCCTACTAAGTTTCTGAGAAAACTGCATTGCCAAAGAAACCATGAGCCAGGGCCAAAAACTCCTGTGGCTGTTCACGCCTAAAAACACCTTGGTCCTTGATTAGAAGGAGCAGGAGCGCGAGGACTTTATGACACTTCCCAGGCGTTCACACTTGCTGTGGGCCAGTGACGGCCGTGGGTCTCCCCATCTTCCCTTTCCTGAAAGGGAGTTTTCCCTGTCCTTATCCTTCTCTGCTGTGTGGGAGGGAGGTAACTTGAACCTGGGTTTCAGTTTTTGGGGGTGGTTGTTCTGTTTTTAGTTTCTACGTCATTGAACAATGAGGTGCCACCTCCACACTTGCTGTTGAGAACTGCATGTCACTGGGAGGCCCTCAACTGTGAGCCATGCATTGATGTGGGAAGAGAGGAAAATGGACTGAGCGCCCACAGTTTCAGACTGTGATGATTCACAGACCTGTCCCTTTGTCCTCTTGGGAGCACAGCTGCCTTTCTGACCACACCCACAAGCCGCCCCGGCCACTAGGTATGGCTGAGTGAGTGATTTCTGGGCCGCGGAATAAAGGCTACAGGGATGTTCACCACCTCTTGGCTTAACCCATCAATGCCTCCAGTGCCGTCCTCCAACCTCTCTCTCTTCTTCTGATTGGCCTTGGGATGGAGAGGCTCAGGGCAATCTTGGAAGCCACGTGTCAAAGTTAATGGCAGAGTCCCTGTCATCCTGGGTCCCTAAACGCTGCCTGGAGCACAGCCCCATCACCTAAAAGAGGGCCTGGCACAAAGTAGGGTCTCAGCGTACATTTGCTGAATGACTACCGTGGAGGATGGGCGAAGCTGAGGCCTGGAAGAATAGTGGGCATTAGTCAGGTAAGATGTGGAAGAAGAATGTCATAGGCAGCGGGAACAGTATGTTCAAAGGCCCTGAGGGAGCAGAGGGTGGAATATGTGAGGACCAGAGGAGAGTCAAAGATGAGCTAGAGAGTCAGCACATTTAGAACAGTACCAATTCCCAATCTTGCCTCTCTCATGGTATGCAGAGATGGATTAGCAAGGGGCCCAGGGACCTGGAGCAAGCCAGGAACCCAGCCTAGGGGGACTTTGGGCCTGGGGGGCGCTGTGCTGGTACATATTCCACTGCTCTGTTGCTCACACTCTTACAAATAAGAATAGTAAGTGAAGGACGCAGTTCAAGCAAAAGGGAGAGGATGCCACAGAAAGCGTGTGTAAAGAGGGCTACACTGGGAGGGCACTGGAAGCTTGGGTTCTAGTCCCCTTTTCTTATGTGATTATTTCGAATAATTTCTTACCGACTTTTTGAAGTGATTTTCTTTTTTTTAAAGATTGGCCCAGAGCTAACATCGGTTGCCAATCTTCTCTTTTTTTCTTCTGCTTCTCCCCAAATCCTCCCAGTACATAGTTGTGTATTTTTAGTTGTGGGTCCCTCTAGCTGTGCCATGTGGGACGCCACCTCAGCATAGCCTGACGAGCAGTGCCATGTCCATGCTCAGGATCCAAACCAGCAAAACCCTGAGCCACCAAAGCAGAGTGTGCAAACTTAACCACTCGGCCACAGGGCCGGCCCCTGAAGTGATTTTCACTATCAAAGATTATGATCCTGGTTCTTATTGGAAGTTATGCGTACATGTGTGCTTATAGCTTTCATGGACATGCAAAGGGAATCAACTCTTTTTAGTGAATAACACATTCAACATAATACTTACAACTTTCAAACTGCAGTTGGCTATTTCAGTGCAAATAGCTTTAAGAGATGAAATAAAGTTAAATGTAAGGGGATCAGTTTCCTTCCAGAAGCTGATAAGGAGTCGAACTTTAACGCTTCGCAAAACTAATGCTTCTCTTATTTTCCCATCCAGGTCTGGCCAGTAAGTCCTATTGAAATAATATCCACATAGATAAAAATAAAGAAAATGAGTTAGTTATGGAAGAGAAATTTACTAGATTACCGAGAACAGTGATATTAATCTGATTATTTCTTTGTTCTGTAATTTATAAATAACCTTGAAGGACACTGAAAAAAAAGCAAGGCTCCTGTGTTAGGGCACGGGGAGACGGTGCTTCCCTGAGACCTGCCCCTGCCACAAATGACGTCTCCCACCACCAGGGCCTCAGGCTGTGTGGGCCCAGGGAGTGTGCAGACTGACAGCCACCCTGTGCCACCCTCACTACACCTCCAACCCTACCTGGGCCTCAGTTCATATGTGGGCTAAGAACCGACTTTCCAACGGAATTCTAGTTAGGAGCCCTGAGCATCCACTCTGTCCCCGAATGCTGCTCAAACCTCTCTTCTTTGGTAACTTTCTCCAAAATGAGCTTTCCTCCGCTTATCCGAGCTTTCCCACACTCGTATTTCCAGGCTGTCTTCCTCTCTCCTGACCAAGCCCCCCACTTCTCCGGGCCCTTGGGATCCTCCAACAGGCCAACAGTTTCTCCTATAGCCCCAGCCTCTTCCCCGAATCCATAACCTTTTGCCGTAATGAAATCCTGACTCTTGCCCAAGGTCACAGCTTCTCCTAAAGCCCTGCCTGTGATTTCTACCATGCCCCGCCCACTTGGTTTAGGATGTGGGGTCAGTCTCCTCTCTCTCCCCATGATATACAACGCCACTTCCAGAACTACCACTTAATTCTCATGTTAAAAACAAAACACAATTAACTTTCCCATCTTAAAGACGAGCCTCAAGTCGCTGTATCTCCCCTCAGCCTGTGATTTGTAGACCTTCTGTTTACTCATTGAAATCTTTCTCTAATTCTGGGCCAATTCACTGTTTAGACTAATGACACAGTATTCAAAACCTTAGCCTGTCAGTTTTGTAATCGTTGTGCCCGCAAAGGTCTCCTCTTTATATTTGACCCTGGCCTCCTGTCCTTCAGGTCCTCCACTCTTTAAACCTGCCCTCTCACACATGTGGGTCCCAGATCCATGATTTCTCCACTTTTGCTTGGTCCATCAGCAAATCCTGGCCTCCCTTCCCTCACCAGCTAATCTTAGTTCTGTTCACTTGAAGGACTCTTGCCCCTTCCCTTCCCCTAGCTCTTGGCAAAATCTAGATCCTGGATCAGTGCTCTAATTCCCTTGGCCTCTTTTGATGGCCGCAAAGCTGAGGACTGTTGGAACAAGTCACCTCTGCCTTGTGCAGACTGGAGCAAACACAAATGCATTCTGGGCACCCAACACCATCCACCAATCCCTCTCCTTGGGTTGGGTCATTTCTACTGCCTGTACCTTTCTGTAATTATTCTAAACTTGGCCTCACTCTAGAGAAACTCGTTTCTTCCTTCAATCACAAAATGGAAGTTCTGGGCCACGGGCTTCCTCAGCTCTCCACCTGTCACGGCCACACGCACCCTTCCTCCTTCCCTCCTGGCGCAGGAGTAAGGCATCCTCCTCCTGCCTGGCCCGAACCTGCCCCTTCTCCCAGTCTGGTCCCTGCCCCTCGGCAAGTGCATCTGATTAGCCATTCTTTCCCGAAAATATCTTTAACTTCTCCCCCTCTAGCCTCCTCTTCGTTTGAGGAAAAAAATGTCAATCTCTCGCATTCAGAGAAGCCTCTCTTGACCTGTGTTGCTCTGTGGCTGGTGCACAATCTTCTTCCTCTCTTGAACAAACTCCTTGATGGCAGAATCTAGAATCCCTGACTTTACTCCCTTATTCCCCATTCGCTCCTCAGCCCACTGCCCCCTGGCCTCCAGCCCACCGTTCTTCTGCAAATCTTCTCAAAGTCAGCAGTGGTATCCCAGCTGCCAAATCTAAGGGACATCATTCAATTCTTCTTCTACTGTTAGACTAGGCTGCCTGTGGCTCTGTTGGTGGTTCCTTTGTTCTCAAGAATCAATGTCATTGGCTTCTATGACTCTGTGGTTTGCTGGTCTGCCCCTTATCTTTAGGACTGCTTCTTTATCTGTTCTAGGGTCTCTTTTCTAAATAGCAATATTCTCTTAGGATCCCATCCCCATCCTCTGTTCTTCTCATTATATGTGCCATCTCCTTGGTGGCTTTATCTACACATTTCGTTTTAATTGTCCTCTATTGTCTGAAGAGCTCCAAGTTCAGGTCACCAGACTAACCCTCTTCAGACTGCATTCTGGGTATCTTTATACGATCTTTGCAGATCCAAAGAACCTCAAATTCACACATTTGCCTATTTCCCTATCCTTTTTATAGCCTTTCCCACCTTGTATAGCCTTCATCATCTAATCACCCAAAGCGAACATCTGGGAATCATTCTTGCATCTACTCTCCCTTTCTTTTTTTTATGCTGAGGAAGACTTGCCCTGAGCTAATATCTGTGCCAATCTTCCTCCACTTTATATGTGGGTCACCACCACAGCATGGCTGTTGAGTGCTGTAGGTCTGTGCCCAGGATCCAGGCCTGTGAACCCAGGCTGCCAAAGCGGAGTGCGCCGAACATCACTGCTACACCTCAGGGCTGGCCCCGTGTCTACTCTCCTTTTTACCAATCACCATGTCCATCGGAAACATTCCTGGACTGTATTCCCTTTAGTCTATCCTTCCTAAGACTGCCAGTCAGGGTCCTCATGATTCTTGACCTGGGCCACTACAACAGCTCCACATGGTTTCTCTGCCCCCAGTCTTGTGGCTGTCAAGTGCATCCTGCACAGCTATCAAAGCGATCCATCTGAAAGTGGATCTCATCCTTTGATTAAAACATAGTGGAGGGTCCCCAAAGTCTCAAGACTCCCAGGAGTCAGGTCCACCTGTTCCTCATCCTTTTCCTCTCGCCAATCTCTCACCACCTTACCCTGGGCTCTATGTTCCAGCACTGAACTTGTGACAGATCCTGGCATGCACCAGCCTATTTTTTTCCATCTGAAACTTTGCTCATGCTGTCTCTTCTACCTTTCTCACCCTTTTTATGACTAACTCTGGCATATTTCTAACCCTGAAACTTCCCCAGATGCCCCTTCACTGACCATCTATAACATTCTGTACATACATATATCTTTTGTTCCATTCACCCCATTGTGTTAGGATAATCTATCCTGTGTCCATTTGCCCCTGTTGGACAGAGCTCCTGGGACCATACATTGTTTATACTTGAATCATTCTTGTATAGTGCCCAGTAAATATCTGTTGAATGAATACATAAACGAAAAATAATAATACCCCAAAGACTAATCAGCCTACATTTTTTTATTGAATAAATTTGATGTATAACACCGTGTAAGTTTAAGGTGTAGAGCATGTTACTTATATATTTATATTTTGTAATATGATTGCTGATGTAGCAATATTTATCACATTACATAATTGTAGTACAATATTATTGTCTATATCCATTATACTGTGCATTAATTAGATCTCCATGGCTTATTTACCCTTGTTACAAGTTTGTACCCTTAAACACTATCACTCTTATCCACTCCCCCCATCCCATGTTAACCACCATTTACCCTCTGTTTTTTACAGGTTTAACTTTTTTAGATTCCATGTATAAGTGATATCATACAGTAGTTGTCTTTCTCTGTCTGACTTATCTAGCTTGGCATAATGTGCTCAAGGTTCATCCATGTTGTAGCAAGTGGGAGAATATCTTCCTTTCTAATGGCTGAATGATATTCTATTGTGTATATGTACCACATCTTTTTAATCCATTCATCCACTGCATTTGGGTTGTTTCCATATTTTGGCTATCGTGAACAATGCTGCGTTAAACATGGGACTGCATATATCTCTTCAAAATCCTGTTTTCATTTCCTTTGGGTATATATCCAGATGTGGAATTGCCGGATTTTATGGTGGATCTCTTTTTAATTTTTTGAGGAATCTCCATATTGTTTTCCAACGCAGTTGAACCAATTTACATTCCCACCAACAATGTATAAGGATTTCCTTTTCATCACCTCCTCGCCCGCCAGCACCTGTTGTCTCATCTTCCTGATGATAGCCATTCTAACAGGTATAAGGTGATAACCCATTCTAGTTTTGATTTATATTTCCTTGATGATTAGTGATGTTGAGCACCTTTTCATGTGTCTGTTGGCCATTTTGATATCCTCTTTGGACAAATGTCTATTTAGTTCTCCCATCCATTTTTAAGTCAGACTGTTTTTTTGCTGTTGTTATTGAGTTGACAGCTCTTTACATATTTTGGATATTAACCTCTTATCCTATATATGCTTTGCAAAATTTTTCTCACATTCTTGTCCTTTCATTTTGTTAATTGTTTCTTTTGCTGTGCAGCAGCTTTTCAGTTTAAAATAGTCCTATTTATTGATTTTTTTTCTTTTGTTGTTTATGCTTTTGGTGTCATGCCCCCAAAATTATTGCCAAGACCAATATCTATAAGCTTCTTCCCTATGTTTTCTTCCAAGAGTTTTATGGTATTAGGTCTTACATTTAAGTCTTTGATCCACTCTGAGTTAATTTTTGTGAGTGGTGTGACAGAGGGGTCCAATTTGATTGTTCTCCATGTGTTTCTCCAGTTTTCCCAGCACCATTTGTTGAAGAGACTATCCTTTCCCCATTGGGTATTCTTGGCTCCCTTGGTGAATATTAGTTGACCACATAAGCTGGGGGGTTTAATTCTGGGCTCTCTGTACTGTTCCACTGGTTGATGTGTCTATTTTTGTGCCAGTACCATACTGCTTCTATTACTACGTCTTTGTAGTATAGTTTGAAATGTGGAAGAGTGATACCTCCAACTTTATTCTTTTTTCTCAGGATTGCTTTGGCTCTTCAGGGTCTTTTGTGGTTCCACACAAATTTTAGGATTGTTTTTTCTCTTTCTGTGAAGAATGACTTTGATATTTTGATGGGGATTACATTGAATCTTCAGATGGCTTTGGGTAGTAGAGCCATTTTAACAACATTAACTTTTCTGACCCATGAACATAGATGTCTTTCCACTT